GGATCGTCCCTCTGAGACGGATCGTCCCTCTGAGACGGATCGTCCCTCTGAGATGGATCGTCCCTCTGACATGGATCATCCCTCTGAGACAGATCGTCCATCTGAGACAGATCGTCCCTCTAAGACAGATCGTCCATCTGAGACGGATCGTCCCTCTGAGATGGATCATCCATCTGAGACGGATCGTCCCTCTGACATAGATCGTCCCTCTGAGACGGATCGTCCCTCTGACATGGATCGTCCCTCTGAGACGGATCGTCCCTCTGACATGGATCGTCCCTCTGCAGACTGGCTCACCTTGATGCAGTGTGTGTGTCCCTCAGCAGCAGCTGAGTGAAGAGGACTGATCCCGCTGTCGTTCACGTCGGCCATAGAAGTGACAGGAAGCAGCAGCTTCAGGGATCTGGACCAAAGAAAAGACAAGTTGGTCATAAGAAGGTCCAGAATCACCGGACCAGGATCAGCTTGTGTTGCTGCAGATTATCAGTCTGAAACCAAAACAACTGGACTTCAGTCCAGACGAAATGTGAAGCTCCGAGCTTCAAACAGCAGAAACGCTCCGTGCACATTCAACTCGCTCATTCAGGTCTTTGTTCTTCGTCACGCGGAGATGTTTTGGTCACATGTGTGAAAGTGTGAGACCAAGATGGCATCTGTTCTCCTGGAGCTCTGAGACATGCACGCCGCTGCACGGACGACGGCTGGCGTCCTGAATCAAGATGTCCTCGTCCTTCAGCTGCTGAACATCTTGGTGATCGTCACAGCGTTGCATCTGCACGACGTGCTGCGGCGCAGATTCTCACCAACACGGCCCGTCTACGTGCGCACGTTACTTTCAAAGTACTTCCTGTTGGCTTCACGAGTTCCTCGATGTTTTAGTTCAACTCTACATTCACAAAGTCATCGAACGGTCCAACGGATCCAACGGATCTAACAGATCCAACAGATCCAACAGATACAACGGAAGGAAAAATATCCCATAATGCATGAAGTTGATTTAAAAAGGCCAAAAATAAACAAAACAATCTTTAATGGCAACAAAGTCCATGCTCAATAATCCAGGTATACAATCCAGCACAAAAAAAGAAACTGTCCAGATGACCTGACTGAAAAATGTTGGATTGTATTCCTGGATTATTGAGCATGGACTTTGTTGTTTTCAACCAGTTTGACACGACTGTCAACAAGGAAGAGGGCCGGCAATGGAGGAGGGGGCGTGACAAAGAGACCATCTTATCAGCAACATAACTGGTTTGTTTCATGTTGGAGTAAGCTGTTGGGGGAAGAATCAGTTTTGTTGTGTGTTTCCTTGACTGATGAAGCCTTCTGGATGGAAGGTGAAACGTTTGAGCACAAAAAAAGAAACCGTCCAGATGACCTGACTGAAACACGTTGGAATATTTAACGGCTTTAACTGAAACACTGCAACAAGCTAAACATCTCGTGGTGTAATTATTAACACGAGTCTCACTGCAGGTGTCCGCGGTGCGCCATGCGGTGGATCGGGAGGTGCCCCGTGTGGTTGGAGACGTTGGCGTCGGCTCCGTGCTCCAGCAGCAGAGCCACGACGGCCGGATCTCCTGAAACCGCAGCTTCATAGAGGATGGAGGCTTCATCGTGGGCCTGGGAGAGGACGTCAGCTCCTGCAGGACCAACAACGGCAGCTGAAACTGTCGGACGAGTTTGATACGAGGAAATAATGTTTGACTTCGTGCAAAGTGGATATTTTAAATGTTTGCTAAACGATACAACAGACGGTGGATCTGGAGTTTTAAAAACTGGATTCATATCGGCTGCTAGAAGCTGCAAAGCAACTTTTCTGTGTTTTGAGTTTAGATTTTCTCTGAATCTCTAAAACCTGTTCCGAAGTAAATGTTTGTTTGGGACTTTGATTTTAGCTTCTTATTCCTGAAATGTGTCTAAACAGCTTGTAAACAAGAGAAAAATCATTTTTATGAAAATCAGAGTGAGTAAATGCAGCTGAAACTGAAGAAGCTGAAGCTGAAATGTTGAAGCTACAAGAAGCTAAACACAAACTGAAAGCTAAAAGAACCTAAACACTAACTGAAAGCTAAAAGAAGCTAAACACTAATTGAAAGC